AAGTTTTTTTTTTTTTTTTAAATCATCAAACAATGATGCACAGGAATTGAAATGCTGACAATATTTCTTCTGTATTGTATAAAAATAGGCTATCTTCCAGAATGGAAAAAAAGGTTTATATAAAATCTGACTTGTAAATTGATCTTCAGCTGAAATGAAATGTATGCTGTATTACTAAACCCAATTTTTTTTTTTTTTTTAATTTGGGAAGAATTATGGAGAAACATGTTCCTGAAATAGCATATCGATTTTTTTGCCATTCCAGTTAATAAATACAGCTCTTCTGACTTGAAGAAGAAAGCTGCACTATATACTTCTTACTTCTTGTCTAATTACGGCATGGTTCAACTCTTAAAGTGTCCTTATAGTTATGCTAGATGGACTGGGTTCAAATATCAGTCTATACATTGGACTTGTTTAAACATAGTTTATTGAATAAATTACAATTAGCTGGTTTATACCACATACTAAGCCCCAAATTAACCATAGCTTAAATTATGGTTTAACATAACAGGTGAATTCAAGCTTAAAGTCCAAAGTGCCATAGTAGAGTATTCATTTTTAAATTTTGGGACATTCAGTTCTAGGTAAATTGTATCTGCCAACACAGGAAGATAGCATTCTATTCCTGGTATTTTTGCTATTGTGATAGCAATTATTTTTCAGAAAAACATCTAATACTACATAAGGATTTTTATTTTTGCTACAGATATATTTTTTTTGTTCATTCCTTTGTTCTTGAATTAATTACATTTTTTATATATGCCAAATTGAGACACACAAATAATTTATACTTGCTTTTCAGTTTTGTTGCCAAGAATTACAGCTAAATGATTTGACGCTCTTCAGGACATCAATAGTGCAATTTTATTCATATATTAAAGTTCTACAGAACTTACCTACCGTGGGTGTAAGATTGCCACCCAAATCAGTTTCTGCCTGAATTTAAGCTTTCAACTTGAGATTGTGCAGGGGTTTCATTAAAAGATAGCAATCAGTGTTTGAGTATTATCTTGGTGATATGCCGACCCATTTTTTCCAGTTTAATTATTTATTTTGTACACAAGTTATGAAGGCATTTCACCCAAAATTCAGCATTTAAATACCCACTGTTTTTTATTAAAAGCTATGCTTAATTTATTAGATGAAATCAGTAGGACTTACATGTTCCTATGACATAACCACATCCTACTTCATCACTTATCATACTTGGCTCTTTCAACAGTACTCCTTTTTTGACACTAAAACATTCATTTTGAGTTTGTTTGGTTTTTTTTTTTAAACAATCTCGGCATTCAGTAGCAAAATGTCCATTCAGCAACTAAGAATTTCTTTGTTTTCTGGTGATTACTAGCATTCAGCACATTTTGCACAAGTGCTTTTAATTATGTTTGACTACCACCAACTTTAGATGCTGCTGCAATAAAAATAATGTATGAAAGCAGTGGAATGATGGTACTCAGTGAACCCTACTCTTCTAATAGGGGCTGATGCATCTAGTTTGTTGGATTGTGAAATCCATTGCATAATGATGTTGGAAATGACATTAACACTCTAAACTATCCTGATGTATCACGTTTTTAACACAAATAAACCTTTCAGGATAACATTTTTATTCTTTTAATTCTTTGTTGAAGACTAAGTCTATACCAGTTCAAATCATATATAGACATCACTGTGTACACATTGTTGTTTTTAGGGTAAAAGCATTAGTATAACACCATATCCAAGCTAGATGTTTTTCATACTTGTGCAGTAGAACTGTATAGAAAGAAATACTTCTTGTATTCTTAAATATTTAAAGTTGCATCTGAGAAGCCATTCACAAGAAAATGGGAAATGTGCTATAATTTACAGTACTTGGTTATGTCAACTGCCATTTTAGTCTTTAAAATGTCTTCGGGTTTATTTGGTCAATATATATTAATTCCAGAATTAGTTATTTTAATTTATTTAATAACTGGTTTTATTTATTTTGCTTCCTGTCCAGCTAGATTGTTAAATGTTAAAATTGCTGAGAGTTGGGCAGCATGCACATTTAATAAATTATTATTATTAACTCTGCTTATTAAGTGTGTATAACACTTGGCCATATGTATATGAAATACCACACAAATACAGACTGAAAATATATGCAAAGTAAACGAAATCAGTAATTTTGCAGATGTTTTAAACTTTGTGGCTGGCTGCAAGTCACATTTAAAATTAGCAATTATATTCTACTAAGGCTATTGCCAATATTTTATTTTCCAGTTAGCTTCCACATAATAAATGCTATTTGGCCAGAAGTAGCATTGTACAATGAATAAAACTGCTTTGGAAAATAAATATTTTCACGCATATATACGTATTTCTTCTTCTACACAATTTGAAAAGAGATTAACTGCTTGATCAACATCCAGGTGCCCACTCTGGAGAATACGGTCTATCTCATCAATCTTCGTTTTCTCCAATCTTTGGATCTGGTCCATGATCAGTTCAGCCTTTTCCTATAAAACATATTCAAAAATAGAACCAAACATAATCCTTGTGCATAGCAAATGCTTGCTACAATTATATCTTCAATGAGAGCCAGTGTGGTCTAGTGGTTAAGGTGTTAGACCATGTAGAGACCCAAATTCTAGTTCACCTTCGGCCACAGAAACTCGCATGCTGACTTTTATCCAGTCGCTTGCACCCAGAACAACTTCAGAGTTGTTGCAGTGGGAAAAAAGGGAACACAGTACATTGTTTTGAGCTCCTGAATGAAAAGTGGGATATAAATTAAATGTGTTTTTAAACAAGCAGCATAATGAAACAATGATTTCATATAAGGAAAGATTTGCAACAAATGTTGAGTCTTCAAATAAATTATGAAGCCCCTTGAGTTTCTGCTCAAGACTCCAGCCAACCTAGGAAGTAGCCTCTCGGTTAACATTTTTTTAAAATTCTGTGTTGTTAAAAAGTGTAAAATGGCTCAATTTAGGGCAAGTAGCCTTGGACTTAAAATACTTTATATAATGTGTCAGAAGGAGAGGTTTTAATGTAGCGCTCTCTCCACTATTCTTTCCTTCAAATTAATACAGTAATATTGCAGTCCTATGGACTGAGACACTGCTAAGAGGGGTTTTTACTTGCAGATGCCTAATCACAGCTATGCTACAATCCTGGCATTTTCATTGTCTTCTCTAGGTAACAACTATAGAAATGGCACTTGTAACTCAGCAAAATGGAAATCTTAACAGACAGACCAGCCCTGACACAAACAGGCCTCATGATTGAAGAAAGATGTGAACTTTCTACAAACATTAATGTATAGGAAGTCCTTGAGCTATGACAGGGTTGGGATGGAATTTCCATCACTAGGCGATGCGGCCGTAAACGGCAATGTCACGCGATCGCATTGCTTAGTGACAGCAATCCCAGCAGTCCAGGACCGTGTGCGTTGTTAAATTAGGACCTCACATGACCACAACGTGGGAAAAGGTGGGAGTCTCATACAAGCAGGCCAGCGGGTGAGAGATACAGGTGGGTGGGTGATGTGGGTGGGCACTATGGAGCACGGGTGAGTGGGCACTGCCGAGTGCAGGGGCAGGTGGGTGCCATGGGCAGGACCTATGAAGTACAGTGGCAGGCAAAAAAGTGGGAGGGTGTGACTTGCGACCTCCTGCTGACTTCCCTGTTGAGGACCGGTCGTAAGTGCCACTCATTCAGTGCCATTGTAACTGAACAGTCACTGAACAAGTGGTCGTAACTCAAGGATTAACTATATTGTGGCCTTGCATTTCAGTACAGGCTTCAACTGTTCTATGACATACATCCTTATGGCTGGAATAAAATTCCCAAGATAAAGAAATTTATCAGATCCATGATCTTCCATCACTTCTATGCCTTGATAATCGTGACATTAAAAAACCCTATGTAATAGGTACTAGTGTTCTATCAAATCATACCATATTTAATGCAGGGCTGTTAAAAGTATACTTAAGAAGAGTTTTGGGGGAGTTTACTGAGAATGCACAAAACGCACTCTGATTTTTCCATAAATGCATGTTAACCTGTGACAGAAAAGTAATACGCCAGAACCATCTTTTCAAGGCATATCACCTTATACAAACACAACAAATTCAAGAAGGCCTTACCTTGAATTTTAAAATTAAATCACATTTTGCAGTTCTAAGATCAACCAACCTTTGAGGACTCCATCATGACAATTGCCTGTTCATGTTTTCGATAGAGCTCGTGCCTTCTATCTGGCTTCGTATAAAATCGTGGCTGCTTTTTAACCGGATCCTCGGGGCCAAACACCGGAGAGCTGGTGTTTAGAAGTTGGGTAATATTTTGCACAAAAATGAAAGGTTTAAAAACAGACCTACAAAATAAAGTAAAAATAAGCCAATGTGCAAATTCATTTCTATTTTCACATTCCAGTATTATGTTCCCTCAGCATAAATCCCAGGGGAGCCTAAGTTTTCATATCAGTTGTCTCAGAATCTAGGTGGAAACGTTTCTAGAACCAAGAAGATGGTTACTCAGCAGATAAGATTCCTAGTATACTTTAAAACAGGGGTCGGGAACCTGTGGCTCGCGAGCCAGATGTG